GGCAGGGGAGGGGCGGGCGCGCGGTAGGTGGCGGGCGGGCGGGCGGTGGCACGAGAGGCCCATGGCCGCAGGGGGCGAGAGCCGGAGGCTACGCGGCGGGGACTGCCGCCCGCCTTGTACGGCGCGAGCTGAGCAATGTAGTCGAGGCAGGTGACGTGCAGTCGGAACTTCTTGCTCTTTGTGAACTTGCCAAAGGTGACACCCATCCCCACTAGCTGGTCTCTCGGAAGCGCAGCCGCCGAGCGCATCTGTGGCAGGCGGCGCCATGTCAGTGGCCGTGTGTCAGCACCGGCAATGGCGCAGTCGCACCTGCAGGTCGCTCACGTAGAAGACGCGGTCTCTGTGCAGGCGGAAGCAATGCGGCCCATTAGGCGGGTCGAGCAGCGTCTTGATGCCTCGACCAATGTACTTGGACAGCTTCTCGAAGAAGATCTTGCTGCGAGGCGGGCGGCGTTGAGCGCTGAGTTCCGGAGGAGCGCTCGAAAGAAGTGCAGTGCGGTGACAGTTGGGCGGGCGGCGCACAGCTCGTCCTCCGTCAGCGGCCGAGGCATTCGCGAAGGTGCGTTGGCGGTCGAGTGCTGCGGCTCGTCGCCGTGGCGTGCACTAAAGAAAAAGACGGGATGGGGGGAAGGCACGCCGCCACCACACAGGGATTTTAAGGAGAGGGGTGTGGTGCGCTAGCCGTCGCCCACCCTTGGGCGTCCGCCTCTTCCTATCTCTCTTCGCAGTCTCTCTCCGATTCTCGCGGCAAATTTCTTTTTCTGCTGTGAAAATTCCGGCGTGAAGGAAAAACCCGACGGGAGGGCCCAGTCCTACCCTACCGTAGGGTGCCGAACTTAAGGTAAGGTAGCTTGAGTTAGGTTAGGTGCTTTGCACTGAGTTAGGCACGGGGTAGCAGCAGTTAGGGCCCGGGGATTTCTTTTTTGGTCCGACGGCCGGAGCTGACGTGGAGCTGACGAGGGTGCGGCGAGTGAGGAGGAGGAGGAGGAGGAGGGGGAGGAGGAGGAGGAGTAGGGATCTAGTAGCGTAGGCACTCGTACTTGAGCGTAGGTGTTCGTAGCGTAGGAGGGAGATGCCTCAGTGGTGCGGGCCGCGGGGCCCGTATGTGCCGGTCCGGGCTGGACCGAGAGGTGGGTAGCAGGAGTTAGGCACATTAGAACAGGAGTTCGGTCAGAGGAAAAGGGCTCCCTAAACTCAAAGCTCCTTTCCCTTAATGTGTGGGCCCCTCCGGGGTACATAACCCCTTCAAAATTTAAGGATTTTTTGGGGAGGTAGAAAAGTAGTATTTGCATGATTTTGTGTGTTCACATGCATGTCTGAGTGAGTATGTGTGAGTATATCTGTGTAATATGTAGTAGTGTATGTGTGAGTGTGTATGTATATGTGTGTGTGTGTGTGTGTATGTGTGTGTGTGTGTGTGTGTGTGCTCGCTCGCTCGCTCGCTCGAACGCGCGCGCGCGCGAGCGCGACCAAAAGCGCGCGGGCTTTGTGCGTGCACTGCGAAGGCTTTTTTTTAGCTTAGCCTTCTTCTTTTTAAAACCGATCGGAGCGGGAGGACTCTCGGGCTCTCTCCGAAGGGAGGGTAGGGTCCCCCCCCCCCCCCCCTGGGAGGGAGCTCAGAGTTACCCCATTCTCTGGAACCTCGGAGAGAGAACTTGCAAGACCAAGAGACGAACGCCAGTCATCGCGACAAGATTGTTTTTCTCTTCGGTTTTTTCTCTTTGAGCTCGAGCGCCTGAGCTTATGAAACAAAGGCACATCATCGTAGGCCCCCCGAGAGCGCCTCTTCGACGCCCACGGGTCCCCCGGGGGGTTGGAGGGGTTGCGAGAGGGCCCCGGCTACTTTTTGTTTGAATCACGGAGGCCGTTCGCACATTTTATTTCGTGAGACGGGTGGGTCAAGAAGAATGCAGGCTGGAGGTGGATGGGGGCGCAGTACTACGATGCGAAGTGAATCAAGAAAGCCATAACGCGGCTGGTGCTCGTGGAAACTTTGGGTGGCATTGCGCCGCCCACCAAGCAGTTCCTCCACGTGTTCGCCAAGGAAGCGGCGGGCACCAACACGGACCGGACGGTGTACGGGGCGGCGTCGGCGAGCGCCTGTCCTCCTTCGTCGTCCACCACACGCAGCAGATCTCCCATGGGCAGCATGGCGGCGGTAGCGGGCGACGCCAACAACATCAACAAGCAGGCGCGCAATACGCATATCAACTGGCTCAACTCCCCTGAGCGTGCCAACTGGGTCAACGACGTCAAGAACAAGCAAGCGGCAGACGTCCTCTTACCCTCGACCCCAGTGGGGGGCGCCCACGCCGCCTAGCTCTGCGGGCGGGCCCCTCCACCCTTCACGTACGGATCATGTAGTCCCCACAATCGCTGTCGTGGGATCGCTTGTCATGTGATGCCCGACGTGCACTTGGAGCACTTGGAGTGCAGTCATTAACCGCACATCCAGGGCCGGGGAGCTACATAGCGCACTTTCTCTATTCGTGCGAAGCTGCGTCAGTACAATGCTTAGCCCGCCAGGCAGCCCTCCCAGTCCAGGAACATCAGCAGCCACCATCTCCAACTTCTACGTGTACAGCGACGTGAGCAGCGTCGTATGTTGAGGGATCTGAGAGAAATAGTCGAGGTCACCGAGAGCCGCGGTGCGAAGCCTTTATCACCGAGAGCCGCGGTGCGAACAGGCGAGCAGCGGCGCTGGCATTCACGACACGCAGCCGGATGCGCCTTCGATTGGCCTCCGCAGCGGCAGCGTCCTGGCGACGCCGCCGCAGCACCAGCAACCCATTCACATGCCGCCAATGAGCAGGGAGGAGGATGGTGGCAGCTTTCACTTTCACAGTGGGCTGGGGTTGAGAGGGGGCAAGAGCATAGGGCGGCGCAGCCGCACTGAGGCGGTCAACCGGCTCGTGCTCATCTCAGTGCTCACCGCAGGCTCGGCCATCTCCCTCGTGGCGCTCGGCTGTATTCTCGCGCACCGTTACCCGCGTGCCTCGGGCGGCGAGGTGGAGGGGGCGGCTAGGCGGCGGCCAGGGCTAGAGCTCGGCCACGGCTGGGCGGACCTCTGCCTGGCTGTCGGCAGGCGAAGATGCTGCGCGGAGAGAGCCTGACCGACGAGGGGCTGGACGACCAGGTGGGGCCACCCGAACCTCCCTCTCGCCGCGGCGCGGCCGGCACGACCCTGAGGCGTGCGCACGACACGTGTCTGGTGACGCCGCCGTTAGGCGAGGACCCTCCTCTCGGCGACGACTCCGACGGCGAGGCCGCGCCGTCCACCTAGCCGCGATATGCTGCCACAGCTGAGCCCGGCGCGTAGTACATGAGGCGCAACCGCGCGTGAGACTTACTCTTGATCTCTCCCCTGCGCGGGAGAGTAGCGACCTTCCTCCAGCTTCTCACTGGCAGTCTCTCACTACCACGGGCACACTGATAGAGGCGGCCGAGGCTCACGCCGTGGGAGGCAGAGAGAGGGAGGCGGAGGGCCGGGTCACATGCAGAGCCGGCGGTGTCATGCCGGAGAGAACTGAGAGCCTGCGGAGACGGCAAGACGGCATCGACCGCCCAGGGAATAGTTCTTTTTACGGCTAATCACACCGCCGCATTGGGCCAGCAGTCCAGGTAACAAGCCGATGATGCGTGCGGCGACTGTGCTTGGCATGGAGCGCGGCGCACGCCCGCTGCTACGCTGGAACACTCCACCGCTACCGAACACAGCGCGCGGGTGGGGCGTCCCTAACTCCGCGCGCTTCTGGAGAACAGCGTCAAGGGCGTTTCTCACACGGGGAGCCACCCAAGTGTGACCTCCGCAGCTGTTGTACTCCTCGAGCACGTCAGCACTTGGAGCACTTGGAGTGCAGTCATCAGCGCTTTCACGTATGCATAATCGCACACGACGCCGCCCCAGTGCTCAAACTTTACCGGTATGAGACCGGTAATTTGGCGATATTTTGATTAACTTTGGAGTGGTATGGTATAGTGGTATGCGAAAGTGGTATGCGGGGTTTTCATTAGTTGTAGCGGCTGTCGGTGTGGTCCCGGCGCAGTGAAACCACCCCGGGGCCAACCGTCTTCGGTTTCGTCGTCCATAGTGCACTATAACCCACGAAACCCGAATAAAAAAACGTGAGCCCCCCCTCGAGTGTATCTTGAGTGTTGCTCTGGAGCGTCCGGGTTCAACACGCGCTCGCGAGCTCGCGTCTGCTGGCGCCCAGAGAACGTGTTGCACCTCGCGCTCCCGGCGGAGCCCAACTGCTCGCACTCGACAAGGCAGTCCATCCACTCGCGGCAGCTGAAGTCGAACTTCCACTCAATGCGGCTCGCGCCGGGTTGTGAGCTCGGCGAGCGAGGTCGGAGAGCGACCTTCAGTTGGCCCAAGCCGCACGCCACTGAGGCAGAGCGGCCGTGCGCGTACGACGCCGTACGCGCACGGCCACTCTGCACCGACCGCAGCGCTGCAATTGCGACCGCAGTGGCTCAGCTCAGCCAGGGCTCGCTCGCCCGAGCTCGGAGCCGCCGGCGGTCATGGGCAGCAACAAAGGTTTGACGCGTCGCTCGGTGCAGGAGGGCACTGCAGTGGAGGTGCAGCGGCCGTCCGGCGCGTGCGCGATGGGCTGCAGCTTCATTGGCAGCTACCAGAGCGCGTCTGGAGCGCTGCCATTGTGTGACCCACGTCCAAGCGGCGCTTCCGGCCTGTTCCGCGCCTCTTTTTACGCTTTTCATTGGTTTGGGGGGGACGAGGTCTCATCAACTTCGAAACCGCCTTTGAAAGGGGGCAAATGCGTCCGTCCCTGAGACGGTTGGGAAGGGGGTGGTTTCACTGCGGGGGGCGAAACCATGCAAAAGTGCGGGTATTACCCGGGTATACCCGGGTTTTTCCAGGTATGTATGTAACTAGTGAGAGGACTCGAGATTGGGGCAGAGCGAGTGGGAGACTTTTCGGCGGGCGAAATGCGGCGGTTTGGATGCGTCCCCTTTGGGACGACCTGTGGCAGCGACCGATGCCGTCACCGGACGCGGCGGCGAGGCACACGGGCGCCGGCGTGGCGCGTCGGCAGGCCCACCACGAGCGGATGCGCGACGAGCGCGCTCGGGAAGCGGCCGCGGGCGACGCGGAGCTTCCGCCGGAGGACGACGCGGTCGAGATGGCGAGCGCCGCCCAGCTGCTGGACAGCGTGGCGGAGGTGGGCCCGAACTACACCCTGCTGCGCAGCAAGGAGACGAAGGCGAAGCGGCGGAAGCGACAGCGCGAGGATGCCAGGGCGGCGCTCGACGGCCACACTGTCCTGTCCACCGGATCGCGCCTCGAGATCTTCTGCGACAGTGAGCGGTGGTACCCTGCGACCGTCATGGCGCGGGAGGAGGACGGGGACGGACGGATCGCGCACCAGGTCGAGTACGACGGCTACCCGGATCGGCGGTGGTGGCACATGCTGGACGACGAGCGGTGGCGAGCCGTCGCAGAGCAGGCCGGCACGGGCGCAGGAGGCGCCGCCGCAGACGGGGATGGGGATGCGGCGATGGACCGCGCGGACGGCGAGCGGGGCGCCCGTGCCGCGGGCGACGCCGAGGCGGCCGAGGTGCGGCCGGCGCCGCCTCCTGTGCGCCGGGGTGTGCAGCGCAGCGCGCTGGCGGACGCCCTCGAGGCGGAGGATGACGAGCGGCAGGAGGAGGCCGCGTGCGGCGATGGGCGGCCGATGCTAGCGCCACACGGGCCGGCGCTGTCAGTGCAGCTTCGGCGCGTGCGCCTGCGGCTGCGCGAGTTCCTGGCGACGCAGGCCGCGGCGGGGAAGAGCGTGCCGATGCAGCGTATATGTGGGACAAAAGCGTCGAAAATCAAAATGTCAAAAAAGTGTGTCTCGAGTTTGTGGCAGCTCCGCAGCCTGCGCGCGCCCAGGACGCACCACTCGCGCGTTCTGTGCACTCAGTGGGACCCAGGGAGTGCACAGATCCAACAGGAGTGAGTAGGCTCGACGCCGTACTCGAGATGGAGCTGCCACAAACTCGCCGCCGAGCGTGCCACCGAAGGCGTCCCGTCGGAGGTGGTGGAGTTTGAGACCTGAGGCTGCGGAGGTGACGCCTGAGGTACCGGCCCGTGCACAGCGACTCAGCCTGCGACCGCCACGGGCTCAGGCGAGACTTGTCGACTCGTTCCGGCTCAGCTTCACCGTGGTCATCGGGCGTCTGTCGACGTCAGGACCACCCATACAGCTCGCGGGTTTGAGGTCTACCCGCAAAATACCCGGTATTTTGCCGATTTTGCCGATTTTGCCACCAAGAAGGCACTCCGACTCGCTTTGATTTCCGTGAGGCAACTGGTATCCCGTACCACTTTTTGATTAGTGCAGGCCTTGGGTTTGATTAGCCAAAAACTCCCATACCGGTAAAGTTTGAGCACTGCGCCGCCCTGCCGCCAGAGCTGCTCGTCCGCGGATATTCTCTGTTGCACACGCTGCGAGACGTGCAGGCTGGCGTAGCCCGGCCCCTGCGCGAGCTGGAAGTCGTCACCGACGACGACAAGTGCCCGCCTGTTGCTCTCTCCTGAGCTGGGGTGGGCCTGCACGCACGATCACTGGGGGCGTGTTTGGCAGCGTCCCCGCCGCGCCGCGCGAGAACAAGCCCGAGGCCGACACGTAGATTGTATGTGGCGCGGCGTAGACAATCCCCCCCAATCCCCCCCGGCTCCATGCCGCCATCGCAAAAAAGCGCGGGTGGAACCATCCGTCCGGAATCACCTTGTCGACCTCGCAGTGCTGCTGGCACCAAACTGTGCCGGGCCCGTCCGGCGCCACCACGTCGTCCAGGCTCATCTCGCCCACATTGTATGCGTCGCGAACGTCCTTGTCTACCTCGTCCAGATAGGCGCGGACGGTGTCGTGCGGTCCGAACCACGGCAGAGCCTGTTGCAGAGGTGGCACTGGTGGGGTGCAGGGAATGGGTGGCGGCACGACACTGGGCACGGGAAAGAATTTGAAACCAAAAACCGGCCTGCCCTCCCTTGCGTTGAGTCTTCATTCTTTCGAAGGTGTACCTGTGTTAGTGCCAGTGCGCCCCGCCCCCCCCTCCTGGGGGCGGGGCCCTTGCGACGGAGAAGAGGCCAAAATTGTACAGCAGCAGACGGCGGACAACGAAGCAGTAGAGGCTTGCTAGGAAAAGTGTAAGGCCGCCGTCAGCCGGGTTTAGATGTGTCTTTTTCGCGGGGAGGTGCCTTAGTGCCAGGTGCACCACATGTCTATGAGGTGTAATAAGCAAGACAGGGGCAGACAACGCGTCGCCACACACACAGAAGCACGCATATACTATGATACTCTCTCTTCTCTCTCTCTAGCGCCGACGCCTAGTCGGAGGGCAACCCGCTGCTCGGGACTGGTTTGCGGCCTGGTTGAGCTCGGTCGTTGGGAAAGAGGCACGAGCGAGGGCGGCGACCTCAACCGACTACAGGGCAGACGACGGGGGAGAGTTGCGAGCAGACGCGCAGGGCGAGACGAGGGAGGGAGCAGGACCGCAGTGAAACCAATGAGGGTTCCCAAGCGAACCAGTTTAAGACCATGTTTAGACCCAGTTTAGACCACGGCTGAACACGAACCAGATTAGTCCTGTTTACGATAAACTGGGTCTAAACAGGGCTCGGCCTGGGTGGGGGACCCCATTAGCCATACCAGGTTTAGCCCGGTTTAGGGCGCCCCTAGCAGCTCCGCCGTCGGTCGCGGCCGCGCTGGCTGCGGAAGCGGCAGCGTGCAGCCGCCATCCTCTGCCTCGGGCCGGACAGCACACCTGGCACACTTGCACCGCGCAACAACAGCCTCGCCGGTCAGGCGCACGGTGTTAGGGCGCGACGTCGGGGCGCGGCGACAGACCAGCTGGCGGGCCGCCTCGGG